TGGCATGCTATCATTTTCATTTGTTTCCAGGTATTTTTTGATTCCTTCTTTAATTTCTTCAATGATCCATTGCTTGTTCAGTAGTGTGTTGTTTAGTCTCCACATCTTTGTGCCTTTCTCTGCTTTTTTCTTGTAATTAATTTCTAGCCTTATAGCATTATGATCGGAGAAGATGCTTGTTATTATTTCAATTTTTTTAAATTTGTAGAGGCTTGCCTTGTTTCCCAACATATGGTCTATCCTTGAGAATGTTCCATGTGCACTTGAGAAGAATGTGTATTCAGCTCTTTTAGGGTGAAGTGATCTATATATGTCTATTAAGTCCAATTGTTTTAGTTTTTCATTTAGCTCCACTATTTCCTTGTTGATTTTCTGTCTGGATGATCTGTCATTTGATGTGAGTGGGGTGTTGAGGTCCCCTACTGTTATTGTGTTGTTTTTAACATCTTCCTTTAGGTCTGTTAATAGTTGCTTTATGAATCTTGGTGCTCCTGTGTTGGGTGCATAGATATTTATAAGCGTTATTTCTTCTTGATGAAGTGTCCCTTTGATCATTATATATTGTCCCTATGTGTCTTTCTTTACCTGTCTTATTTTGAAATCCACTTTGTCTGATATAAGAATTGCAACACCTGCCCTTTTTTTCTTGCTATTAGCTTGAAGTATTGTCCTCCACCCCTTCACCCTGAGCCTGTGTTTGTCCTTGGGGCTGAGGTCTGTTTCTTGGAGGCAACAAATTGTTGGATCTTGTTCTTTCATCCATTTTGCCACTCTGTGTCTTTTTATTGGAGAGTTCAATCCGTTTACATTGAGAGTGATTATTGATGCATGTGGACTTAATGCTGTCAATCTGTCACTCATTATCTTGTTTTCCTGTGTGTCTTTTCTTGTGTCCTTTAGCCTATGCATTTAATACTGCAATTTCTTATGCTGGGTTTCTTAGATTTTTCCTTATCTATGATTTGTGACTCTGTTCTGTATTTTATTTTAGTGTCTACCCTGAAGTTTGTATTTAGAATCTCATGTATAATATAGTCTATTCTCTGTTGGTCTCTTACTTACTTGGCCAAGACTGATTTAGTCCCTTTGCTCTTCCCCTCCTAAATAATTATTTTCATTTCTTATTCCAACTCATGTTATGAATTTGTAGTTAGAGTGCTAAGATCGTCCTTGTTTTGGTAGTTTCCTTACCTTTACCTGAATGCTATAGTTGAATATTTGCTATCCTGTTCTGGTTCTATCCATTGGTCTCCCTAGTCTGTGGATTGTGACCCCTTTCTCCCTTTTTTCTTTTTTCAGGTATGAGAGGCTTCTTGAGGATTTCTTGTAGTGGAGGGCTTTTAGTTACAAATTCCCTTAACTTTTGTTTGTCTGGAAAAGATTTAATTTCTCCCTCATATCTGAAGGAAATTCTTGCTGGATAGAGTATTCTTGGCTGACGATTTTAATCTTTTAAAGCTTTGAATATATCACTCCATTCTCTCCTAGCTTGTAAGGTTTCTGTAGAGAAATATGCTGAAAGTCTGCTAGGGGCTCCTTTATAGGTTATTTTCTTCTTTTTTCTTACTTCCCTGAGTATTCTTTCTTTATCTTTCCTTCTTGCCAATTGTACTACTATGTGCCTTGCAGTAGGTCTTTTTACACTGACAAATCTAGGAGATCTGAAAGCTTCCTTTACACACATTTCTCCATCAATCCCTAGATTTGGGAATTTCTCTTCAATAATTTCGTTAAGCACACTTTCAGCTCCATTTTCCTTTTCCACGTTCTTGGGAATTCCTATGATCCTTAAGTTCTTACTCCTCATTGAATCCACTTTCTCTTGGAGATTTTCTTCATTTTTTTAAATTCTTAGTTCTCTTTCTTCCTCTGTCTGGAGCCATACAGCCTGTCTATCTTCAATTATGTTAATTTGCTCTTCTATGGTGGCTACACGGGCATTCAGGGAATTCATATTCTGTTTTATCTGGTCCATTGTGTTTTTCATCTCTAGTAATTCTGTTGGATTCTTCTTTATGATTTCAATCTCTTTTGTGAAGTAACTCCAGAATTCATTGGCTTGTTTCTCTATCTTTCTGTCTACCTCATTGAGTTTTTTGATTATAGCTGCTCTGAACTCATTATCACTTAGTTTACCTAATTCCAAGTCCTCAGGACTTAATTCGATGTTTTTATTGTTTTCCTTCTGGTCTGGGGCTTTTATAAATTGCTGGATGGTAGAGGAGCAGTTTTTTCACATGGTGGTAGAATTCGGTTGCAGTTACACCCTGTCGCCACTAGATGGGGGTCGAGAGCCATGTGTTCTGAGCTCTCCACCTTCGGGCAAGATGGCGCTCCCAGTGTGTTTTGCCGGGAGGGAGGGGCTGCTATTCTTGTGTGCTGATCTGGATTCAGATCAGTTCTGTTCTCTGATCTCCTGAGGCCCTGCGTTTATGGGGTCCCCGCGCATGGAAGCTTTCCCCCGTCAGCGGGTCTCCACTGAACCAGCGGCAGGAGTCCTGGATGATCCCCCAGTCGTGTGGCCCCTCCCCCGCTCCTTCCCGGACCCACGCAGCAGGGATCGCAGACTCTAGGGGGGGCAGTGACGTTCTCTCCTGCCCGTTCCAGTGCCTGCGAGGCCATCAGCAAGGTTTATGATCTCTGCCTTCTTGGTATGGTAGGTCTCAAACATGTTGGCATTAGATTTATTCTCTGAAATTCAGTTTTTCCAATCTTTTGTTGTATTTTGGAGGGGAGAGAATCCTGGGTCAGCTCACCCCGCCATTTTGCTCCACCCCTTCTCCGAGATTATGTTATTTTAACATGCTCTAAACTTCCTTCAGGATTTCACCTTTATATAGATTATTATCACTGGATTTAAAAAATTCGTTGTGCAGCTATGATTTCTAAATGAAAAGGGGAAAATTTATTAACAGAAGAAAAATTGGAAAATAATGCCTGGACTGATATGAAAAATGAACGAAGGTGAATAAATGATATGCTGATTTTCTATTTAACAATTTTAAGTATTATTTGTTATTTGACATTCTTACAAATGTAAAGCATGCTCTTTATAAAAAATTTTTAAAAATACATTAGAATTCAAAGAAGAATATAAGCAGCAGCCATGATAAACTGCTTAGTGGCATCTACTGGCAACATTTTAAAGTATACATTTCCATTTCCTTTCTATCCTTGTATGATTTTAAGCTACACATTTCTTTTTTCAGCTTTATTGAAGTATAATTGACAAATAAAATTATAAGATATTTAAAGTGTACATTGTGATGATTTGATATACATATACTTTGTGAAAGGATACTTCCCATCTAGTAGTTAACACATCTATCACACCACACACATATATCCACACATGGTTTTTTGAGAGGTGAGAACATTTAAGTTCTACTCTCCTAGAAAATTTCAATTATACAATGCAGTGTTGTCAACTATAGTCACCATATTACATATTAGATCCTCAGACCTTATTCACCTTATAGCTGCAAGTATAAATCCTTTTATCAACTTGTCCCTATTTCTCCCACCCCCACCCCTTGGAAATGAATTTTCTACTCTCTGTTTCTATGAGTTTGACTTTTTTTTCGAGATTCTATATACATGATACCATGCACTATTTGTCTTTGTCTGGCTTATTACACTTAGCATAATACCCTCAAGGTCCATCTATGTTGTCGCAAATGGCAATATTTTCTTCTATTCTATTGTGTGTGTGTGTGTATGTGTGTATGCCTGTGTGCATATATATATCACAGCTTCTTTTCTTAATCCGTTCATCAGTTGATGGACACTTAGGTTGCTTGCATATCCTGGCTATTACAAATAATGCCGTAATGAACATAGGAGTGCAGATATCTTTTCAAGATCTAGTTTTCATTTCTGTTGCATATATATACCCAGAAGCAGGATTGCTGTATCATATGGTAGTTCTATTTTTAATTTTTGAGGAACCTCCATACTGTTTTCCCTAGTGCTGCATCAATTTATATTCCAACCAACAGTGCAAATGAGTTCCCTTTTCTCCACACCCTGGCCATACTTTTTATCTTTTGTCTTTCCGGTGATAGTCATTCTAACAGAGGTGAGGTGTTATTTCATTGTGGCCTTGATTTGTATTTCCCTGATGATAATTATGTTGAGCACTTTTTTATGTACCTGTAGGCCATTTGTACGTCTTCTTTGGAAAAATGTCTATTCAGTTCCTCTGTCCATTTTTTATCAGATCTTTTTTAATTTTTGCTATTGACTTCTATGAATTTTTTTATATATTTTTGAGATTAACCACTTATCAGACAAATGAATTGGAAATATTTTCTTCCATTCCGTAGGTTGCCTTTTCATTTTGTTAATAGTTTGCCCTTCTGTGCAGAAGCTTTTTAGTTTGACGTAGTCTTTTTATTCAGTCAATTTCTCTACATGAATATATGTCTATGCCATAAAGCAAATTTCAATAAAGTGATTACATTGATTACATTGAATGTATAGCATTTCATTATATTAATAGAAAATTAACCAGTCTTTCATTTATGGACACACATTGTTTCTAACATTTCTGGTCTTTCAATAAAATACAGCTATTAGCATTCTCTAGGATAAAGTTTGCCCACAGCATGATTTTTTTAATGCTGAATCACTCTTTGCTTTTACTTCCCTATTTCTATTAGAATTTCTTTTAAAACATGATAAATATAATACATATATATAATGAGGCTTAATAATGAAGCAAATATGAATAATCTTTTCCTCTTGCCCGTAGTCTTGCTACCTATGATCACCAGTGTAAATAATTTTCTATGCTCATATGAGTTAAATAAACATATTTGCACATCTGTACCAAACAGATGCTACTAAAAGGCTTGTTGTACATAATTCAATTAAATAGGGGCAATTTTAATTTTTGCAAATCTCTTAGAAGTATATCCAGTTATTGATTCATGTTTCCTCTGTGGTTTTTACCAAAGTAAATTAGTATCATACAACTGTAAGTAGCTGTCCCACTTTAGCCTAGGTCTGGACTTCTCACCAACTCTAGGAGGATAGTGGCAGAAATATCACTTCATTCACCTACCAACATCTTTGTGGGCTCTTCCTCACCATTGGGACAAGAAATCACCCAAAAGGCTCCATAATGTCAAATGCTTCAGACTCTGAACCACGTCCAGGTATTTTTTTTAATGTAAATATTCTATACTATTTTAATGAAAATAAAATTTTAGTTATTTTAATCTATCATCACTGCTGATTGTGATTATAACACGGGCATAAATGTCTTATATTTTCTTTAATATTTCCCACATACCTAAAAGAGTGCCTTTAAATATAATTAACGGAAATAATTATCTATTTCCTGGCTAGATCCAAAGTGCAATCAATTTAAATAGTTTTAGGAGAACTGGATGGGCCGTTGAGTAGAAATGTGATTTGGAGTGTTTTCGATTTTATTGTTACTGCATTTATATTTCTAGCGATCTTTGAAAAGAATCAACTTCTAATCTCATTTGCTTTACAAAGTTATAAATTAATTACATATTTGTTGTGCTAAAAGAAACCACAGAGCAGACAGAGACAATCCCTATTGTGGACTTGGAACCCCCTCTTGCTCTTCCTCCTCTTCCTCCTGCAGAGGATGAATGGGGCTCAGTTCCTGAGCGCACCAACGTAGATGGTAAAGTATAAATAACCAGATTTTATTCTTCTACGTTCTCTTTTTGTTATCTGAAGGTAAATTTTCCCTTTATTTTACTACTCTCTAGGTGTTACTATTTGGGAATTTTTCTATTTAAACAAAATATAGAGATTCAAATATTTTAAAATATATAGAGGAGTTAAAAAAAGCATATTTGCTCACTTTGAAAATCTCATGTATTAAGGGGAATGTTTAAAGATAAAAAAGAAGCCATTTGTCCTAATTTTGTCTTGTTTCCTCACATGAAAATGAGAGACTACGCAAGATGATCAGAGTTTAAAATTCAGTAGATATGTAAAAGGACTCAAAAATAAAACACTAGTAGTTGATTGCCTCCTTTAGATCATAGTTAAACTTAACATCATTTAGTTAGGGTAAGGTTTCTCAACTTCAGCATTGCTGACACATTGGACGGGATAGCTCGTTGCTGTAGTGCGTGTAGGATTGTAGGATGCTTAAGAGCACCCCCGGCTTCCACCTACAAGATTCCAGTAGCACCGGCCCCTCAGTTATGACACCAAAAATGTCTTGAGATATTTACAAATGTCCCCTTGGGGCAAAATTGCCCCTGGTTGATAGCTACTGAGTTACATTTTTCAGAAAATTAAAGAATGTTTTGGACATAAATTATGAATATAACCATTCTCTTTGATGCAGTTTTTTACCTTGTTACAAAAGTGCAATTCTTTTCTAATATAAGGAAATATATACTTTTTACACTGGAGTACCTAAATTTACTTTTGTGGGAAATAAACATATCAACAAAAAGATTATAAACAATGATGTCTGAAAGTTTAGCTTCTAGAATGTGGGGATATAACATATTATTTTTGTGAAATTTAATAAAATTATAGACGTTCTAGGCCTAAAGCAAATATCATCTGGCTTAAACTTTCCCTGAAATTTACAGTAATTTTTTTGTGAGGGGAACATGGTACTAGTCATCAAGTTCAACTAAAGAATTCCATCTTAATAATAGCATAGGTTTAAAATAAAGCATTTCTGCATTTGATCATATTAATGAAGATAATGTAATCTGAACTGAAATTTTATGCCTAATATTAAAGGTATTTAATAACACCTTGTATTTAAAAATTTCATCTGTGCTAGAGGTCCCTAAGACCACACTCAATTTTGATGATTCACTAGAACTCACAGGACTCTGCCTACAGTTGTACTTAGATCTCAGATTTATGGCAGAGAAAGGATAACAAGCATAATCAGCAAAGGGAAAGGCACACGGAGTGAAGTCTGGGGGAGACCAGGCTCAAGCTTCTAAGGGTCCTCTCCCAGTAGAGTCACAGGGTCACATGAATTGCCCCAGCAACACATTGTCACAATGTGTCACATGTTGCCCACCAGGGAAACTAGGAGAATCAGTGTTCAGGATCTTCACCGGGGATTGATCACATAGGCTCTGGCTGGCATGTAGCAAAATCCCAGACTTCCAGAAGGAAGACAGATGTTCAGCACAAACAGTATTGCTTTCACAAACAGTTTCGGCATAGTGAGTCACTCTTTTCATGGTGGGAACCCTCCTGAAATCCAGGTTTCCAGACATCAGCCAAGGCCAACCTTGTAAGCAGTCCTTTGAGGATAGCAGTCAGGTCTGCTATGTTAACCCTTTTTCTGCACATCCTCTTAAATAAGTTTTTTCCCCTCATTTAGCCTGATAGTTCATAGTAATTCACACATTGGATATTTTCTTTCAGAAAACTTAAGACAGTTTAAGAACAATAGTAAATGCAAAATAATGATATTATTCTTTCAAATTACTGGAACTCACCTTATCTCTGATTATCACTCATCCTGTTTCTTAGCTTCTCCTTTTCCCTTTGCTCGATGTGGAACAATTCCTGCCATCCTGGGAGTCTGCAGCCTGCTGCTCTTGGTGCTGTGTGCATTCTTTGGTTATCACTGTAAGTCTGGTTAATGAGAGGAAGGAAGGAATAGATTATCAGATTCTACTTCTTTAAACATGTTTCAGATAAAAGCTTTTGGTAAATATTTTATTGCCACTTTGAACAGGGAACAGGAAAAAATGACATGAAAGTACCACAATTTTTTACTTTAAGGATGAATTTGACCTTGTGAGCTCTCAATAACTACATATGTTTTTCAAGGGAGACTACATGATTGTAATTTCTGCAGAAGATACTGATAGTAATGACTGATTAACATTATTATTTTGAAAATTACAACTTAGAAATTTAGCTTGATGGTTTTGTGGCTGTCTTTACTTTGAAAATAGAAAGTAACTTCTTTTATAATTTAGTTCCAATTTCCATGCCTCCAGCAGCCTAAATTGGATAAAGAGAATATTTTCTTTATTATTAAAATTATTTGCAACTGGTTATTTAAAAATTGTAGTTTCTCATTGGTAACATTAGTTTGAACTTGAAATTCTATAATTTTGTTTAGAAAGTGAAATTCTGTACACTATATCAACCAGTCATGATGGCAAAAGATTTATTTGATATGATTTTTGTTGTTGTTCTCTGTTTTAATTGATTTTAACCATTGTTTTACCAATGTAAACACATTCAATCTTATAAGATATTGAGATATTTTAGCTTTAGGCATAGACTTTAGAAATAATAGTGGGTAAATGAAAACATACTTAGCTAAATATCTTTTCATAATTTGAGAACATTTATGGGGAACTTTTATTAAGAAAAAACTATAAGATTTAAACTTCATAATCTAATTCAATACTTGCTCATAATTGAGCATGTGTTTTACATGTCTTGAATTCTTGTTCTTAGACTTTCAAAGTGTTCCGTTATCAGAAAAGAAGCTGAAGAGCCTTAACCAATGGATTGAGTCTTTCAAAAACAAAGCAGAAACATTTATTCGGGTCCAAAAGATTCTTGATGAAAACACAGGTAATATTAGAGCTAGAATAAACAATTTTATAGAATGCTATATTGTTTTTCTTGTTGCAGCCTTAAAATGGTTAGTTGCATAATGCAGTAGGCAGCTCTCTAATACAGCAGCATGGCAATTTTGATGGCTTCTTCCCTCTTTTGGGCTTCATGGCTTCTTCACGTCATCCTTTAAAACTGAGTGAATTTCACAATTATCAAGCATAGCCTCCTATATTAATTAATTAGCTTATTCAATGCACACTACATGCCAGCCATTAGGTTGGTGTTTGACAATAAATAGAATATGAACCCTGCCCTTGGGAGGCTCAGAGAAAAACATATAAACCAAAAATAAACCAAAGTGTCAAGGTGTGCAGTAGAGGGATGTGCAAGATGTTCAGGGGGCATGGAAATAGAAGAACTTGAATATCTGAAAAGTAATGGTGTTTTCGTAGCTTCTAAATGCCTCTTAAGGAGAGGAGTTTAAAATACTAGAGTAATCATATAGCTTCATTTTTGCTAAATAAATTGTAATATAAAAAGAGTCTATGTTGATGATAAATAAATATTTTACAAAGGACTTGCATTAAAATACTAGTTTTTTCTTTTTCTTGTGAGGTGTCAAGTTTCTATTGAATAATTAAATCAGCCATTTGAGAGTCCTTTAGTGATTGACCTTGCTAAAAGGCTGGTTTCTTTTTTTCTATTGAAATATAATTGACATGTAACATTGTGTAAGTTTGAGGTGTACAACGTGTTAGTTTGACACATTTATATATTGCAATATGATTACCACAATAGCTTTAGCTAACATCTTTATCATGTCACGTAATAATCATTTCTTTTTTGTGTTAAAAACAAGATCTACTCTTTTGGCAACTTTGAATTTATAATACAACATTGTTGACAACAATCACTATGTTGTGCATTTTTAAAGGCTGCTTTCTAAGCCATTGATTATTTCAGCAAAAGATGAAACTAATTCAGTAGGGAAAGAGGCTGGACTAAAATTATTTGCATATTTTGCTGCTTGATTATTGTCATTATTATGACTCTTGAAATAGTACAAAAATAAAATGTAATATGTATTCTCATCTAATATTAAGTCTTGTTGTCTCACGTAGAAACCCTGAAGTGGCTCCAAAACCAGAATGTGTATCTCCTTGAGGCTTTAGAAGAACTAAAGACCATGCAAGGTAATCTGGAAGGGAAAAAATTCTGAGTTAATAATAATTCTTAATAACAGCCTCAATCTTTTAAGAGGGAAAACTTATGAAGCCGTAAGGCCTTGTTTGTGAGGTTCTGTGAACTCTGAGGTTTAAATATTTTCTTTCCTAGGAGACAGGTGTGGACATTCTCTGAATAACTGGGTGCAATACAGAGACCACTGCTACCACCAAACCGCGGAAATGGTCTCTTGGTTAAACTGTTCTGATCTTTGTGTCACTTTGAATGCTACATTTTTAAAGACAGAAAGGGGCATATTGATGGTGAGATTATATTTCATTCTTTACTTCTGGAATACGAACATATTGTAGGTACCAAAGGAAGGGCTCACCTGCAGCTCTAAAACCAGGGAAAGGGGCACTCTTTTGCTTCGTTTTTCACTCACCTATCTCAGATATACTCCACTTCAGCACATCTTTCTTTTCCAAACACACCAGTCATGCCCTCACAGTAGAAATGATGCATTTGCTGTTCTCTCTGCATGCAATGTTCCTCTCTTTGATATAGCCATGGATAACTACTTCACCTCGTTCAAGTATCGATTCAGTTATCACCTTAATAAAGCTTGCCCTGACAACCCTATTCAAAATTGCAACCTGTGTATCAGTGTCCCCCCAGATGCCCTCCTCTGTACTCTTAGTTCTTTTTACCCACTCTAAATTTTTTATGGTATTTGTCACTTTCTTAAATACCATATCCCGTATATGTATGTTGTTAATTTCCATATGGCTCAAATGCCCCCAAAGCAGATACTTTTGTTCAATGATGTATATCAAACTCAAAAAAATAAGCACAAAATTTAATAAATGATCAAATGAGTTAAGAAAAATAATTGATATTTATTGATATTTAGTAATTTAGTTCATATTTAGTAAAAGCAATTCATATTTAGTGTGGTGTCATCTTGAATATAAAACTTTCTGTTAGCTATCTTTATTTTCTTCTTCCTATTTAATTCTTGGTTCAAGAAACTATGGACACTATGGTACTGAAATATTTTTTGATGTTCTATTTGTCAGTGGGGATTTATAGACTGCATTGTTCTTATTTTTATGATTCTTTTCTTCTCACTTGATGTAAGTTCCATATTTTTCATCTCTAATATGCTTTTAGTATTAATATTTTTGTGTATTTTGGTTCCATGAAGAGTATCATGAAGTTACTTGCAGAAAATCATACTTGGCTTGGCCTATCTTATAGGGAAGAGGACAATAAATGGAGGTGGGAGGATGGCTCCTTTCCTTCTCCTGAGCTGTAAGTTTCTAGCATATGATCCATTTCCTTATGCCTTTTACAGTGTCTTTTCCTTAAAGAGCTGGAGGAAATAGAGAAGATTACTGGGCACAGAATTTAGATCTTTTTAATTCTCTTTTTTGTTATTTCATATTACACTGTCAACAATTTTATAAATCATAGTCATTCAGATATTTCATAATTTATGTAAATATGCCTCTATTATTAGACGATCTGTCTGATTACAATTTCAGATAATAAGTATAATTTGGGGAAGAACATCATTATATATGAATTTTGGCAAGTATTTATTATCAGGTATTTATATTGGGAAGAAATACAGAATCATTATTCCTCAGCCAAAGAATTTGGGCCTTTTTTATGGTTTTAAATACATATTGCTAAATTACCATCTAGAAACATTGCCTTAGACAATCATGCCAAAAATAAATATATTAGCAAGCTGTTTCATCACTCTGTGCCAATCTTAATTAATATTTCAAATTTTTGATAATTTTGGAAGCTGATTATTTTTATTTTGTTCTTTTAGGTTATATTCTTCTGCTGTTTAGTGAGGCTATTTTTCCTATAACCTGTATCAATATTTTTGTCCGCTTATCACATATATCTTTTATTTCTTGGTATGATTCCTTATATATTGTCTGTACTCTCTCAGATATGTCTTGCCCTTGTTTTCCTTTACTAATTTGTTTTTTGAGTCTATTTGCTTTTATTATGTGAACAAATGGCTAGCGTTTAAGTATACTGAAATTGTCTTTATTCATTTGAAATTTATTTTGGGATGTGACAGAGAAAGCTAAGCATGTACATGTGTGTACACACATAGATGCAATTATATCTATGTATATATTTCACTAATCAGTTGTCAAAGTGCTGTTAAATGATTCATTATTCTTCTATCATTGATTTTAATGTCATATGCTAAAATTTTAGTATTCAAATAATTTAATATGTCATTTAAATATTTCACAATTTGTGTAAACATTTTATGTGTAAACATACTTGAATATTTTCCTACACTTGCCTGTTCTATTGTCTCACATTGTGAATCTATTCTTACTTTCATGGTTGATCATTTTAATTATTGGAATTCTGTGACTTGAAAGTTTTCCTCTTCTTTAAACCTTATACAATATTTGGTACATAGAATACTCAATAGGTAAGTTGAATTAATGAATGGAAGACCATATAAAAATAGTCTGGCAATTTATTTTTACTAACACAGTTCAAAATTCTTTTTTTTCTAATTCCTTTGACATTTTGAAAAGGAACGTATTATGCATTTAATAAATGAGTAGGTAAGCTTTACTTTTTTCCAGACTATAATAGATGACCATTGTGCTCTAGAGTTGATGAAATGTAGTTTTGTTGATATTGACCTAAAATGTTCTTTATAATCTACATCTCTAGTTAAGGACTAAGTTCAATCAGAGTGTTTGGTAGCATCTACCCTATAGCATTTATGTCAGTGGTGATTTTGTAAATTGAAGTGCACAATAGAGCAGAGGGAAGTGTCCTGACATATTACATATATATATTATACACACACGTATGTACACATATATCTTATGTTCCAAATTTCGTTACTAATTTTGGCTGATGCAAGTGTATTTACATCAATGCAATGTATTTACAACTAAAATATCCCTCTTCCAATTGTAGCTGTACATGCATAGTTGAATGGTTTCTATCATGCCAATCTGTACTTAAACATAATTTCATATCCCAGATCATATTTCCCATTTATTCTTAAAGATTTTATTTTTCCTTTTTCTTCCCAAAGCCCCCCAGTACATAGTTGTATATTTTTAGTTTTGGGTCCTTCTAGTGACGCATGTGGAATGCCACCTCAGCATGGCCCAACAAGCGGTGCCATGTCCGTGCCCAGGATCTGAACCAGCGAAACCCTGGGCTGCCACAGCGGAGCACGGGAACTTAACCACTCAGCCATGGGGCCGGCCCCATATATTTCCCATTTTTTGTGATATTGCCATAATTATCCAGTGAGACCATTCTCTTCCTCTCTATTCAGGTGTATTTTTTCCCACTTATATTTAGTTATCACATTTTGTGAAGCTTGTTACTTAGATGCCTATATCATTTTTAAAATAAATATATGAGCTCTTTGAAAAGAGGAGAGTGCGTTGAGTTCCCCACAGCACCTATTATGATGAATTCACATAGTAAGTTCTTATATAATGTTATTTAATTCAAATACAATGAGTATGGCCAGTGACTTGTGTTTTCTAAATTTCTCAGGCATTTACCACAGCCAAGTCTGGATTTCCAGGGGAAGTGTGTGTACGCAAATGTGCACACCATTGGTACTGATAACTGCACCAGACCCTATTCATGCCTGTGTGAGAAAGCTGTCCGCTAAAAAATCAGAAGATTCAAAGAAACGCTATGAGGTTCACATCTCAATAATATTCCAGATTCAAGATCTGCCTGCCTTTATTCTATTGTTATTTTATGTTATTTATAACTCTTTTTTTCATGGCAGAAATTGATAAATGAGTTTATGCTAGAAGGAGGCAGGGTATAAGATTACAGGAAAAATATCAGGATATCCCAGGAAACTTAGAAATTTCAGAACCTCTTTGATTTTGTGAGAATTATATAAGTGAACTAAAAAACGTATCATTTGTCATGAATATTTAGCCTTTTTGTTCTTTTTCCTATTTTAAAATTTATTCATTTAGAATTGTGACCCTATGGAAACAAACCTTCAGAACAAATACAATGAGAAATCTAAGTGATAAATATTTTTTTTTAATTTTTATCTTTTTCGGATGTACATCGTATTTCGAATTCTGTATACATTACATCGTGTTCACCACCCGAACACTAATTATGGTCCATCCCCTCACATGTGAGCCCAATCACCCCTTTTGCCCTCCCCCCTCCCCCTTCCCCAAAGGTAACCACCAGTCCAATCTCCAATGCTATGTGTTCTGTTTTTTTTTTTTTTGTCGTTTTTATCTTCTACTTATGAGTGAGATCATATGGTATTTGACTTTCTCCCTCTGACTTATTTCACTCAGCATAATACCCTCAAGGTCAATCCATGTTGTCACAAATGGCCAGATTTCCTCGTTTCTTAAAAGCATAAAGATACTTGCACCCCTATGTTCATTGTGGCATTATACACAGTAGCCAAGACATGGAAACAACCTAGGTGCCCATCAAGGGATGAATGGATAAGTGATAAAAGATTTAATGTATAATGTACAAAAAAATGGCAGACATACAAAGAAATATAGATAGTAACATAAAGTTAAAAAATAAATAAAATAAAATTTAATTAAAATAAATTTCTGAAGTCATCTATTTTCCAAGTTCCTAGCAGATGTCTTCCTTCCTAACAGATTTTACATGTGTCAGTTTTCCTTAAATTAATTCCTTGCTTCTATTGGAAACTATACATCCTGTCAGAGGCTACTTTTAAATAGACTCTAGATCCACTTCCTCCTACCCTCACAGTGTTTCATGTTCTTATTCCATTAATTACCCTCCTCACATATATACAACGACTTCCATTTAAAATGCATTACCTTCAAGATGTAAACATACCCACACATCTCCACCCTCCCGTTAAATTCATGTCTTCCTCTGTCGCCTCTTTCATAAGTTTCTCTTCAAAGTCAGTGTACTTGAGCAAAAAATCTCAAGTACAAATCTCTTATCTACTTTCTCACTTTCTAATCATTATTCAGAACATTGTTATTTGTCTTCTTTTCTCCTTTTTATTGAGACTGCTTTTGTTTAAGACCCAAATCATCTGTCATTCATTCATTTATTTATTTTCAATCTTTTTATTTATCTGTTTCTGTTTTAGGCAGCAAGTTTAACTCATGAATCCAATTTATTTCAATGCTTATGTTATTCGATCTATGAACAGAATTTTTACTGGATTACTTATTTCATTCTTCTTGATTTATTATTATTATTATATTTGGACACAGTGTTATTTTTCTGTGACAAAAGACAGCATATAAAGACAGTTTTGTCTTTATTGGTGTTCTTCCTACCACTCTGGTCCTGTAGTCTTAGTCTCATTTATGGATTTTTTTCTAATCGCTCCCCAATGTTTTTCAGCTTGAAGGTTTCATTAGGGGACTTTCATTTCATGTAGGATGACATTTGATTTATTAACACAGGTGTGGCAGACAGACTTTTGGTGTACAAGATAAGAGAGGAGGCCTGGATTCAAGCATCTTCTGTGACATTTCTTGTATATTGGACATTCTGTAAGTTAGTCTGCATCTGTGGGTTCAGTTTCCTAATTCATAAGATTGGGTTGGTAATAGCTGTAACTCATAGTTAATTGTCTGAGGGTTAAATAGGACCATAAATGAAGCATCTAGAATGGCAAAACCACAGTAGGGATTCTTTAGACATTAACTATTGTTTTAGATGAGAAGAAAAATGTTAAGTTCCTTGTAAACTGTGAAGCACTATATGATTTTAAAATATTCTTATTATAAACGATGATGGTACCATGGAGAAATTTTGGTGAGTGAAATGCATGCGATTCATATGTATCACATTAGCCTCCGTAATCTCCATCGCTTTCTATCTTTCACTTCTTCCTATACCCTTATTTTTCATTCAGTTATCTACACTCTTTTCTTTCTGTACTATCTTCCTTTCCTTTTATCTGTTATACAGGTGAGACTTTATTGATGACAAGTGACAGAAACAGGACTCAACCTAACTTGGAAAAAATGGGAAAACTTTTGGAAATATACTTGGTTACTGCATATAATTTAGGAAAACTTTGAAAATAAATCATAAGAAAGGTAGTGATACAGCTTAGCCACAGGAAAATGGGAGCTTGGAACTTAATTCTACCAGCATTCTCTACTGCTTTTCTCTGCCTCTCTCTTTTGGGGTGGCTTTATTACGTTTTCATGAAGAAGATTTCCTTCATATAGTGGGAAACATGGACAATAACTACTTAGGCCTCCTATCTTACAGCTTCTATTACAAGAGAGATTCTTCTCATTTAATTTCACTAGAAAAAATAGTAAATAATACCAAGTTAAGGGAGGGCTAAGACCTAAAAAATATGGCCGCCTCAGCTAGAGCTATATGTATTGGAGTGTGGGGAGTTCTCAGGAGGAAGGGTGCATGCTGGCTGACAATAGCATAGATGGCTCCTACAATTATGCATTAATTTTTCTTTTTTTTTGTTAGCATTTTTAATTTTTTATTGCAGTAACATTGGTTTATAAAATTCTATAAGTTGCAGGTGTACATCATTATATTTTGATTTCTGTGTAGATTACATCATGTTCACCACCCAGAGACTAACTACAATCCATCACCACACACATGTGCCTAATCACCCCTTTCGCCTTCCTCCCTCCCCTCTTCCTCTCTGGTAACCACCAATACAGTCTCTGTTTCTACATGTTTGTTTGTCATTGTTTTTATCTTCTACTTATGAATGAGATCATATGGTATATGACTTTCTCCCTCTGACTTATTTCACTTAGCATAATACCCTCAATGTTTATCGATGTTGTCACAAATGGCCGGATTTCATCATTTCTTACGGCTGAGTGGTATTCCATTGTGTATATATATGACATCTTCTTTATCCATTTGTCCCTTGATGGGCACATTTGCTGCTTCCAAGTCTTGGCTACTGTGAATAATGCTGCGACGAACATAGGGGTGCATGTATCTTTACACATTCATGTTTTCATGTTCTTTGGATAAACACCCAGCAGTGGAATAGCTGGATCATATGGTAGATCTATTCTTAATTTTCTCAGGATACTCCATACTGTTTTCCATAGTGGCTGCACCAGTTTACACTCCCACCAGCAGTGTATGATGGTTCCCTTCTCTCCACATCCTCTCCAACACTTATTGTTCCCTGTCATTCTAGCCATTCTGATGAGAGTGAGGTGATATCTCATTGTAGTTTTGATTTGCATTTGCCTGACAGATAATGATGTTGAACATCTTTTCATGTGCCTGTTGGCCATCTGTACATCTTCATTATAAAAATATCTGTTTAGACCTTCTGCCTATGTTTTAACTGGGTTGTTAGTTTTTTTGTTGTTGAGCTGTATGAGTTCTTTGTATATTTTGGATATAAACCCCTTATCAGATATATGGTTTGCAAATATCTTCTCCCAATTGTTAGGTTGTCTTTTTGTCTTGTGGATGATTTCCTTTGCTGTGCAGAAGATTTTTAGTTTGATGTAGTCCCATATGTTTATTTTTTCTATTGTTTCCCTATGCTTTCTTCTAGAAGTTTCATGGTTCCAGATCTTACCTTCAAATCTTTAATCCATTTTGAGCTAATTTTTGTGTATGGTGTAAGATAGTGGTCTACTTTGACTCTTTTGCATTTGGTTGTCCGGTTTTCCCAACACCATTTGTTGAACAAAATTTCCTTTCTTCATTGTATGTTCTCAGCTCCCTTGTAGAAAATTAGCCATTGAAAGATGTGTGGTTTTATTTATGGCTCTCAATTCAGGTCCATTGGTCTATATGTCTGTTTTTGTGCCAGTACCATGCTGGTTTTGTTACTATGGCTTTGTACTATATTTTGAAATCAGGGAACGGGATACCTCCAGCTTTGTTCTTTTACCTCAGGATTGCTTTGGTTATTGGGGGCCTTTTGTTGTTCCATATAAATTTTAGAATTCTTTGTTCTCTTTCTGTGAAAAATGTTGTTGGAACTTTGTTAGAGATTGCATGGAATCTGTAGATTGCTTTAGGAAGTATGGGCATTTTAACTATGTTAATTGTTCCAATCCAAGAACATGGAATATCTTTCCATTTCTTTATGTCTTCTTCAATTTCTTTAAAGAATGTTTTATAGTTTTTGGTGTACAGATCTTTCACCTCTTTGGTTAGGTTGATTGCTAGGTATTTGAATCTTTTTGTTGCAACTGTAAATGGGATTGCATTCTTAATTTCTCTTTCTGCTACTTCATTGTTAGTGTATAGAACACAACTTTTGTATGTTGATTTTGAATCTTGCGACTTGACTGTATTCATTTATTGTGCCTAAAAGTTTTTTAGTGGATCCTCTAGGGTTTTCTATATATAAAATCATGTCATCTACAAATAGTGACAGTTTCACTTCTTATTTTCCAATTTGGATCCCTTTTATTTCTTTTTCTTGCCTGATTGCTCTGGCTAGGACTTCCAATACTATGTTAAATGAGAGTGGTGAAAGTGGGCATCCTTGTCTAGTTCCTGTTCTTAGAGGGATAGCTGTCAGTTTTCCTCCATTGAGAATGATGTTAGCTGTGAGTGTGTCACATATGGACTTTATTATGTTGAGGCATTTTCCTTCTATACCCATTTTATTTAGAGTTTTTATCATAAATGGATGCTGTATTTTGTCAAATGCTTTCTATGCATCTATTCAGATGACTGTGTGATTTTTATTCTTCATTTTGTTAATGTAGTGTATCACATTGATTGATTTGCAGATGTTGAACCATCCCTGCCTCCCTCGAATAAATACCACTTGATCATGATGCATGATCTTCTTAATGTATTGTTGTATTCAATTTGCTAGTATTTTGTTGAGGATTTTTGCATCGATGTTCATCAGTGATATTGGCCTGTAATTTTCTTTTTTTTGTTGTTGTCCCTGTCTGATTTTGGTATCAGGATAATGTTTGCTTCTTAGAATGAGTTAGGAAGCTTCCCCTCCTCCTCAATTTTTTGAGAGTTTGAGAAGGTTAGGTATTAAGTCTTCTTTGAATGTTTGGTAGAATTCACCAGGGAAGCCATCTGGTCCTGGGCTTTTATTTTTTGGGAGGTTTTATATTACTGTTTCAACCTCCTTACTGTCTGGTCTATTCAAATTCTCTACTTCTTGATTCAGTTTTGGAAAGTTGTATGATTCTAAGAATTTATCCATTTCTTCTAGATCATCCAATTTGTTGGCATATAGCTTTTCATAGTATTCTCTTACAATCTTTTGTATTTATGAAGTCTCTGTTGTAATTTCTCCTCTTTCTTTTCTGATTTGTTTGTTTGAGCCTTCTCTCTGTTTTCCTTCATGAATCTAGCTAAGGGTTTGTCAATTTCGTTTATCTTTTTAAAGAAACAGCTCTTGGTTTCATTGATTTTTTATACTTTTTTAAAGGCTCTATTTCATTTATCTCTGCTCTGATTGTTATTATTTCCTTCCTTCTGCTGACTTTTGGCCTTGTATGTTCTTCTTTTTCAAGTTCCATTACATGCACTGTTGGGTTGTTTATTTGGGATTTTTCTTGTTTGTTAAGGTGGGCCTGAATTACTATAAACTTCCCTCTTAGAACTGCTCTTGCTGTGTCCCATAGATTTTGGCATGTCAGATTTTCATTTCATTTGTCTCCAGGTATTCTTTGATTTCTCCTTTGATTTCTTCATTGACCCAATTGTTGTTCAGTAGCATTTTGCTTAATCTTCTTGTATTTGTGGTTTTCCTGACTTTCTTCCTGTAGTTGATTTCTAGTTCCATACCGTTGTGGTCAGAAAAGATGCTTGGTATTATTTCAGTCTTTTATTGAGACTCGTTTTGTGGCCTAATATGTGGTCAATCCTGGGGAATATTCCATGTGCATTTGAAAAGAATGTGTATTCTGGGGTTTTTGGATGGAATGTTCTATATATATCCGCTAAGTCCATCTGGTCTAATGTGTCACCTAAGGCCAATGTTTCCTTATTGATCTTCTGTTGGGATGATCTATTTGTTGATGTAAGTGGAGTGTTAAAATCCCCTACTATTATTGTGTTACTGTCTATTTCTCCTTTTATGTCTGTTTATAATTGTGTCTACAATTGCTTTATATATTTAGAGGCTTCTATGTTGGGTGCATAGATATTTACAAGTGTTATTTCCTCTTGTTGGATTGTTTCCTATATTAGTATATAGTGCCCTTCTTTGCCTATTGTTACAGTTTTTGTTTTAAAGTCTATTTTGTCTGATATAAGTATTGCTACCCCAGCTTGATTTTCATTGTCATTTGCGTGGAGTATCTTTTCCCATCCCTTCACTTTCAGTTTGTGAGTGTCTTTAGGTCTGAAGCATGTCTCTTGTATTCAGTATATATATGGGTCTTGTTTTTTTATGCAATCAGCCACCATATGCCTTTTGATTATAGAATTTAGTCTATTGACATTTAAAGTAACTATTGATAAGTATGTACTTATTGCCATTTTGTTACTTTTTTCTGACTGTTTTAGTAGTTCTTCTCTGTTCCTTTCTTCTTCTCTTGCTCTCTTC